ATGCTTGATATGATTTTAATCCTCTTGAACTTGTAGAGATTTATTTTGTGTCCTAACATGTGGTCTATCTTTGACAATGTCCCATGTGCATTTGAGAAGAATGTATATTCCGCAGCTTTGGGGTGAAATGTTTTGTAAATGTCAATTAAATCCACCTGATCTAGTGTGTCTTTAAGTCACACACAAATGGATTCTTACGCCCTCGGAGGTAGGACACAATATGATCGGATGTTTTCAGTGGCTGACTCACTGGACCCACTTTTTCACAGGTCAATTAAAATCTGTACTTAATCTAACCCTAACTAGGACCCTTGATTGAAACCAATTATTGGAAAATTACGTTGCTTAAACTGTTATTAATATTCTCAGAGAATTTGTTTGCTTATGGTTTGTGTGTGGGGTTTTTTTTTAATCAGTGTCATATTGGCTATCACCAATGTTAAGAGTAGATAAAAGACACTTGAATTACTTGGTGGGATGGAGAAAATGCTGGGAGCAATTCAGTGATACCAGTTAACTTGCTACTTGACCAGAGAATGGGGGGAGCCACTCCTCTTTGGGAAGAGGAAAGAGTAGGGTGTAATCTCTGTGAGATAAGATTTTTCTTAGAGATTAGGAAGAATTGAGAAGTTGTAAAACATTAGATTCACTGTCTGAGAAGAAAGTGGTCCTTTATCCATTGCCTTTTAAAAACAGGACATATCCATGGGGTGTGAACACACAATAGAGATGATGTATTTTAGAATGGTATACCTGAAACCTATATAATTTTACTGAACCATGTCACACCAATAGATTAAATAAATAAATAAGTAAATAAAATGTTTAAAATAAATAAATAAAAACAGGACAGTTTACCTATCTCCCATGGTTCAGATGTGAAGAGATAGTGATTAAATTGCTTCCTCCATTAGATCAATCTATAGTGTAAACTAGAACACTTGTGAATGTCTGGGGGAGACAATTAAATCCATTTAGGACATGATGAATATAGTTTAATATTAGCCTTTTTCTTACATGACTTTGTTTGTATGTTCTTTTTCCTCTGCACCATCTACTGCTAACTTATCATGTCTTTATGTATTTTATCTATTTTAATAGCCACTTTAAACTGTTATGGAAAAAGAAGGGACATAATTGAATAAAATAAGTTCTGTTACAAAAGCTTTGAGGGCCTTTATAATTCTAGGAGTCATGCCAGGTCCAGGGAAATATAAAGAGCAGGGAACACTGAACTCAAGGTCTTCTCAGTGATGAGCGTGAACAGGTCAACAAAATAAAAATCCTCTGGGGGAATAGAGCTCCTGTGGGATCACAGAGCAGAAAGGCCCACTCTCTTAGGAAAGGATGGGAAAGGATGCAAGGAGAGCTCACAACAGAGTTGGTGGTAGCACACAATCTTGAAATACAAATCCTGCCAGCAAATCTGATTGGGGAGGATGTGGGCAAAGATGGGGTGGGGAGCAGGGGAAACGTGGTCTTCAAGGAACAACTTTGAGGCTGCCCTTCTTATTCCAGGAAAATATTATTATTCCAATCTAGTAAATTACCGACAAATGTCTTTCTTGACTAATATTCCTTCTATGCCTTTGTTCTCACCACATGGCCAGTGATCACTGGTGTAATTTGACAGTTTCAGGAGATTGAATGGTTTCCAGATAATTCTGGTTAAAAAAAAAAAAAAAGTAACACAGCAGAAGTATCTTCAACAAAAGGAAAACGCTCTATCCTCTTTTTTGAGACTCTGACTGACACTACAAGGGTAAAAATCTCTCTCTCATTCTTCTCAACATCAGTGCAAAAATGTCCTACTCAAGCACAAACCTTACAAATACGTAAAGGGAGCCCCTTGCAAAAAAATAATGGTTTATAGGGCACCATTACAAATACACGAGATTGTTTAACCTTTGCAATTTACATTCTGTAAGCAAACATGGAGGGCCATGATAAAGAACAACCCGTAAGTTTACTTCAGAATGAACTTAAGTGTGAGGGCTTTGGTGAAGATGTGAGGATACCCGTGGCCAGTAAGCCTAGCCAACTGCCTGGGACCTACGTTCCAGTGAGTCTTCCTTACTAAAGCAATACTAGTCGTTTTTTAGGTTTTTATTAATTGAGCACTCTCAATGCTAAGAACTTGACCTACCTTATCTCATTAAATTCTGACAATAACCATTTACATATTAGGAAACTAAGGTCTAGAAAGACTGAGTAAATGGCCTAAGCCTTAGGCCCTAAGGAATCGCAGCTTGGAAGCTCATTGGAACTGTACCAACTTGATTATGGTTTGGTCTAATTCAGTGATTTTCAACCTTTTACATCTCATGGCACACTAATTACTAAATAATAATAAACTAGTAATAAACTACTAAAATTTTGCAGCACACCAAACACTATATTACATTTTTTAAAATATGTTTTATGGATTTTTTAGAGGGAGGAAGGGAGAGGGATAGAGTTAGAAACATCAATGAGAGAGAAACATTGATCAGCTGCCTCCTGCACACTCCCCACTGGGGATGTGCCCGCAACCAAGGTACATGCCCTTGACCAGAATCAAACCTGGGACCCTTGAGTCCACAGGCCAACGCTCTATCCACTGAGCCAAACCAGTTAGGGCACTATATTACATTTTTGTTCATATGACAAAAAATAGGTATAATTTTGATTCATTCACATCATACTGCTATTGTGTTGGATGTTGTCATTTTTTTATTTGATAATCTAAGGGAACAGAGGTCAGTGCCCCTGACCAAATAGTCAGGTATTGCATGCTTTAAAAATTCTTGTGGCACACCAGTTGAAAATTGCTGGTCTAATTCATAATTATATACATGACTATGTCAATTCTAAGTAGATTTTAATCTCCATCATAATATTGTAAGATGTTTTCAGTCCTCATAAACTGTGTGCAAACTGAAGAAATGGGCTCCCGCAGCAGCCTTTCTTTTTTGGAGATTTTACAAAGGACTATGGACAAAGCATCCAGGATGGTGGTCACATTACTGAGATCCTCCCCAAAATTCTCAGAGAACCAGAGTGACTGTCAGGTTGGTGGGCTGTTCATACTTCCTGGGTTAAAGGCTTTGCCTGTGTTCCTGAGAGGATGACTGGTTTCCAGGCAACGCCATAGTATATGTATTTTCAGAATGGCACAGTGACAAACATTTTTTATAAAAAATAAGATGTATGACTTGGCTGGCGAGGCTCAGTGGTTGAACATTGCCCTGTGAACCAGGAGGTCACAGTTCAATTCCCGGTTGGTCAGGGCACATGCCCAAGTTGTGGGCTCGATCCCAGTAAGGGGCATGCAGGAAGCAGCCAATCAATGCTTTTCTCTTATCATTGATATTTCTATCTCTCTCCCTCTCCCTCCCTCTCTGAAGTCAATAAAAATATATTTTTTTAAAATAAAATGTATGGTACCAATAATGTGCTGAGTTGCTTTCTGAAGTCTGCCATTTCTGTCTATAGTAATCCCATGGTTACTTCCAGTGAGACCAGAGGAATTCCTAACAAGAGACTCAAATAATGAACAAAAAAGCAGGCTACAGGGCCAGTAAGGACTCAGAATGAAGACACTGGGTTTTATCAAATTAATTGACTTTTTCCAAGTGCCCTGGTCTTGGAAGATGGAAAAAGTACAAGCCTAAATTTCTGGTAAATAGACTTATATAATGTAAAGAATAGACTGCTGCTGGGGTCTGATCCTCATGGCTGGTGAAACAAAAAGTCAGTCACTTGCATGTGATTGGTGTGTAAGTTACAGTCCCTGGGATCTAAACTGCATGAGTCAACCCACACCCATTTTTAGAACTTAATCTTCTTAAAAACAAAAGTGTTATTAGTTGTAGAATAGTGTGTACTTTAATTGCCAGGAACCCCCAAAATGTGCATCTAAATCCCAATGTTAGTATACTTTGGTGAAGTTAAAATTACCCTTGCTTGTTTCAAAAATGAATCCATTGTAGAAATGTTATATAATGCTCTCTCCCCACATTGTAAAAGCTATCTGTATCCAAAACAATCATAATACTGCTCTGAACAGCTCAGTTCATTTTAAGTACTCAATATTGTAAACAATAAAAACAAGCATTTTTTATTCTCAACAGAGGCAGTGTTTTTTTAAAAAAAATATTTTTTATTGATTTTAGAGAGAAAGGAAGGAAGAGGAGGGATAAAGAGATAGAAACACCAGTAAGAGAGAAACATAGATTGGCTGATTCCTACACACCCCATACTGGGGATTGAGCCTGAAAGCTGGATTTACGCCCTGTTCAGGAATCCAACCAGTAATCACTTTGTTCATGGGTCAACACTCAACCATTCAGCCACACTGGCCAGGCCAAAGGCATTGTTTTTGACAATAACATTGGCTCTGAGGGATTGAGCTTGGATTTTATTAAAAATGATGGTGCCTGAAGATATCTATAGAAATTTTGTAAAAATTTCAGAAGGCCTGGAGATATTTTGTAGCGTGAAAGAGAGTAAATGAAGGAGGAATGACCATCTCACCCAGCAGGGGCCACCTCTGATTCTAGGCTGTGTGTAGGGTTTTGAATGCTGCAGGAATCACTAAAATGTTTAGTGATAATAACCCTCATTTACTCTAATGAAGGATAAAATTGGATCCAATTGAATTGATGCTGGAAAACTCAAGAGGTGGTACTTTGGTTGGGAGCGGACATACCTTCAGGACCATTCTGCACATATGCAGGCCTTCTAATACCAAGCAGGTTGGAAAGAGCTGGGAGAAGTAGGCTCCAGCCAGTTGGAAATGCACAGCCCCTTGATGAGCTAACATTTTCATTCTTGCCTGCTCTATATGAACCCAGAGCCACAGTATTTGTCCGGAGAAAAATGCTCTTGTGTTTCAAACCTTCCTAGGGGGCTGCTCACTCGCAGCTCCTGTCTCCCAGAATATCCTTCATTTCCTGTGAAGACAGTGACCTTGTGGCTGGGATCTTCCGCCCCTGCTGATTGTCTGCTTATCCCCACAGAATCTGTACCAGAACAGGTTTTTAGGCCTGGCCGCCATGGCATCTCCATCTAGAAACAACCAGAACAGGCGCCGCTGCAAGGAGCCACTTCGCCACAGCTACAACCCCAGCCAGTTCCACAGCATGGCCATCAGGACCAGCCCCCATGGCACCGTCACCATCCCCCGCTCCACCAGCGACACTGACCTGGTTACCTCTGACAGCCGCTCCACGCTCATGGTCAGCAGCTCCTACTACTCCATAGGGCACTCCCAGGACCTAGTGATCCACTGGGACATAAAGGAGGAAGTGGACGCTGGAGACTGGATAGGCATGTATCTCATCGGTGAGTAGAATAGCAATTAGCCAGGCTGGCTAACAGTGTGCAGCAGATATAACATGTTAGGAATGTGGTTTGGGCATTCAACAAGCATATTGTTCATATTTCACTCCTCTGCAGGCTTTAATATTTCAATAAACTCTATAATTTAATTAAAACTCACAATTCGTAATCAAATGTGTTATGCACCAAATTCTAGCACACTGAAGACCACACACTAGCTTCTTGCCATCTCTACTCCATAGAAGAAGATCATGAGAGAGCAGGGTAAAGAGTGGTTGAACACAACCACTGTTACCACTTGTACATCTACATGGAGTTAATTTCACTTTTGTTTTCAACAGAATCATAGGCCTTTTTCCCTGCTCTTTCAACATTCTTTCTGCTTTGTAATACTGCTTTCACTGCAGACAGTGAACACAAACACCAGGGACTAGAGAACAGCATGATGACTGAAAGGAAAGTGGCTGCACAGATTTGTAGTGCTAGAGAACATAAACCTCACAAATTGTAAACTATGGAAATAAAGTTTCATGAAAAATGTGTTTCATCTATTTGACATGATAGAATCAGGTGTGGTGAAAATTGGCGCATTGACACTGCACAGTGAAAGGGGCCCCTAGAGTCAGCAAATTCAATGGAGGCCAGGCCTTTTGCATTCAGTCTCTGCAATGAAGCATTCACACATTCAGACACACAGATTTAACATCATCAAATATCAGAGAAACTAATGATTGTTATGAGTATTTTATAACCTAAGCTGTTTTATGATAAAATATAGGGATTCTTCTCTGTCCAGGTGTCAGGGAAATAGTCTTTGGTTCTCTTAAAGGTTTTGTAACCAGTTTGGTTAGTGTAGTTACCATACACACAATATTATAATGATTCAGAAACATAATTTTTGAGATTTTTTTACATAAATAGTGGTTACTAAAACTGAACTTCCAAACAGGTAACATTTAATTTGCTTTAAAAATAGTTCCTGATTAAAAGTGTTTGGATACCATTGATCTAGAACAGTGGTTCTCAACCTTCCTAATGCCACGACCCTTTAATACAGTTCCTCATGTTGTGGTGACCCCCAATTTCATTGTAACAAATTGAACATAATTAAAGCATAGTGATTAATCACAAAAACAATATGTAATTACATATGTGTTTTCCGATGGTCTTAGGCGACCCCTGTGAAAGGGTCGTTCGACCCCCAAAGGGGTCGCGACCCACAGATTGAGAACCGCTGATCTAGAACAAATCTTGCAAAATAATAGCCCATAAAGCATATTTTGTTTAGTCCATTTTGTTTTAAATTTGATTAGTTACTAACACTTAAAAAAATGCAGGGATTTCCCATTAAAATTCAAATTTTAACCTTCCTTCACAAAAGCCCTCAATTAGGCAGTCTGAGCCTTTAGCTCCATGTGGCTTTAGTCAGCAGGAGTTAAGCTTCCCCCTTGAGACTGTCCTGCATCCATCTATTTTGCCGTAGTCCCCCTTCTACCCATCCCTACTTGAATTAAGAATCTTACTTGTTTAGACCTTAGACAATTAGGTTTTTAATGTGAAACTAGTTTTAAATCAACTTTTTATAGCTGTACCTTCCTGCAGTCAGGAAATAGGAGAGAAGCAAGCAGGATGATGGGGGCATTTGAGGAACATTCAACCGTGGAGAGGGAATTGACAGATTTGGAGGTCAGCCCTAGATCTGGGCTAGGAGTGTAGACCTGGGGTAATGGGCACCCAGAGAGTAGATACTTATGTGTTGGGTGTAGAAAGAGAGTGCGAGAAAGCCACTGTCAAAGAGAGAGACAAAGGAGTAACTCAGAAAGGGGATGGAGGAGTTGTAGAGGTGGGACAAAAATTAGGAGCCCACTTCAGAAGGAAGGGGGGTCAGCACTATTAACCTGTCATGAAATTCCGTGAATGAATTAGATCTGGCATTAACATAACATTCTTACTGAGACAAAAGTAAACACAGCTCATCATCTTAATTTGACAGTTTGTTCTTTTTCCTAGTAGCTGTACATAGATAACTGTGAAGTTATTTTTTATTAAAAAAAATTTTTAATGTTGACATTATTGCAGTCCCCTTCCCCACCACTTTGCCCACCTCTGGATCCAGAAGCATGAATACATAGAACAGACTGGTTTGTGCCCAAGGGGCAGGGGATGGGGGTGATTGGATAAAGAAGGTAAAAGAAATAGCTAAAGAACATATATGTATAACCCATGAACACAGGCAATAATGTGAAGTTATTTAAAGCAAAATGACAACACTTTTGGTGGCATAACAATTCAAAAATAACTTCCCAACCCAAAATTATCTGTGAATCATAAAAATTCATAATTTGTAGGTCCTTAGTAACTACATAGGTTCGCCATCACTGCACTAGAGGCTCTTTCAGTGGCTGAGTCTAACAGGCAACTGACAGGTGAAGGCAGTTGGAGAAGGATTTCCGGGTGCCTTGAGACTTTTGGTGGCCTGTCTCCAGGCCTGGTGCTGGTAAAAGCCAGCCTTGATGCACAGCTTGATCCTTCCCATGCACACCCAGGCCAGCAGAGGCAGCCACAAACTGTGGACCACTTTGCAGCTCCAAGCAGGTTGCTCAGGGCCAGTCACAGGGAGCACCTGCCATTGGCCTGCACCAGAGTCTCTCCCAAGAGGCCACAAAACCAACACACCCAGTAGCCAGCTTCAGACAACATCAGAGCAGGATCCAATAAACTTCACCAACAGTATATCCAAAGGGATATCTCAGCAGGCACCACACCCTGCTGAGGCAAATTTTGCTTTGTGTGGTCAATACCTCCACAGCTCATACACTGTGATCCTCACAGTCAGCCAATCAGAGTGTCAATTCCATACACAAACAGGCCAATAGTAATTAGGCCTCAATTACAAGAAGAGGGTTTACATAATCCACACAAGGGGCAGTCCTGGAGCACCCAGCTCGGGTAATCAAGGAGACTGTACCACGGGGTTCCACAGGACATGTACTACATATGACACACTACCAAAACTGAGTCAGAGCAGATCTACCTAGTACATAGAAAACACACAAAAGGCAGCCAAAATGAAGAGACAAAAAAAAATGCTTCAAATGAAAGAACAAGAAAAAAAGAGCTAAATGAAATGAAGGCAAGCAATTTATGAGATATAGATTTTTTTAAATGGGTATAAGATCACTCAAGGAACTTAGTGGGAACTACAACAGCATGAAAAGGACATAAGAGCCATAAAAAAGAACCAGTCAGAAATGAGGAATACAATATCTGAAATGAAGAATACACCAGAAGGAATAAACAATTTGTTGGATGAAGCAGAGGATCAAATCAGCAATTTGGAATACAGGTAGCAGAAAACACTGAATCAGAGCAGCAAAAAAAAAAAAATAAAAAAATTTAATGAGGATAATTTAAAGAACTGTTTGGACAGTATTCACATAACAACATTTGCGTCATATGGGTACCAGAGGAGAAGAGAGAGAGCAAGGTATCAAGAACCTATTTGAAGAAATAATGACTTAAAATGCACCTAACCTTGTGAAGGAAAATGGCACACTAGCCCAGGAATCACAGAGAGTCCTAAACAAAATGAATGGAAGGAGGCTTATACCAAGACATATCATTATTAAAATGCCAAAGGTTAAAGACAGAGAATCTTAAAAGCAGCAATACAAAAGCAATTAGTTACCTATATGAGAGTTCCCATAACACTATCAGCTCATTTCTCAACAGAAACATTTAGACAAGAGGCTCGGCATGAAGTATTTGAAGTGTTGAAAAGCAAGGGCCTATAACTAAAACTACTCTCCCCAGCAAGGCTATCATTTAAAATTAAAAGAGAAATAAGAAGCTTCCCAGACAAGAAAAAGCTAAAGGGGATTATTACCACAAAACCAGTATTACAATGATTTGGAGCTCCACAGAGTGGGGCGAGAGGGAGTCCAGAAGGTGGGGCTATTAATTTCTCCCAGGCTGATGCCTATATGGAGGAGAGTTCTCCATTCAAAAAATATGGCATCTACAATGTGAGAACAAGACAAAATGTTAAAGCATTTTGTTGATGAAGAAGGAGAAGGAGAAGGAGAAGGAGAAGGAGAAGGAGAAGGAGAAGGAGTGGAAGAGGAGTGGAAGAGGAGGAAGTGAAGGAGGAAGAGGAGGAGGAGGAGGAGGAGGAGGAGGAGGAGGAGGAGGAAGAAGGAGAAGGAGGAAGGAGGAAGGAGGAGAAGAAGGAAGGAGGAGGAGGAGGAGGAGAAGAAGAAGAAGGAGGAGGAGGAGGAGGAGAAGAAAGTTATAAAGAATAAAATGACAATAAGTAAACACTTATCATATAATCATTTTTAATGTAAATGGCTTATATGTGCCAATAAAAAAATATGGGGTAGCTTAATGGATAAGGAAACAAGACCCATATATATATATGCTTTTTACAAGAGACCAACCTCAGAACAAAAGATACACACACAAAAAATAAAAAGGATGGAAAAAGATATTTTATGCAAAAGTAAAGGATTAAAAACTGGAATACCAATAATTATATCAGACAAATAGACTTTAAAACAAATGCTATGTAATTGAAGAAAAAGGACACTGCATAATGATAAAGGGAGCAATCCAACAAGAGGATATAACTCTAGTAAACATGTATGCACCCAACATAGGAGCACCTAAATATACAAAGCAAATCTTGATGGACATAAAGAGAGAGACTGACAGTAGTACAATCATATTAGGTGATTTTAACACTTTTTGACTTCAATGGATAGATCTTCCAGACAGAAAATTAACAAGAGCAACCTTAAATTGCACACTAGATCAGATGGATTTAATTGATATCTTCAGAGCATTTCACCCCAAAGCAGCAGAACATACATTCTTTTCAAGTGCACATGGAACATTTTCTATGATGGATCACATGTTAGGACCCAAAACAAGTCTTAATAAATTGAAGAAGATTGAAATCATATCAAGCATCTTCTCTGACCATAAGGGTAAGAAACTAGAAATCAATCACAAGAAAAAAAAACTAAAATATGCACAAAGATATGGAGGCTACATAACATGTCACTAAACAATGAATGGGTTAACTCTGAGATCAAGGAAGAAATAAAAATATACCTTGAAACAAATGAAAATGAGAACCAACAACCCTAAAACTATGAGTCACAGCAAAAGCAATCCTAGGAGGAAAATTTATAGCATTACCGTCCTACCTCAAGAAACAAACAAACAAAATCTCAGGTAAACAATCTAACTGTACACTAAAGGAAATAATAAAGACCAGCATGGTGAAGGCCTGGGTGGGGGGCGGGGGGGGGGAGACTGAATATGATGTTGGCTGTGGTTTTTATTTATGGTCTTTATTACATTGAGGCATGATCTCTCTATTCCCACTTTGTTGACATTTTTTATCAAAAATGGCTGCTGGATGTTGTTGAATGCTTTTTCTGCATCTATTGATATGATCATATGATTTTTATCTTTCATTTTGTTTATGTGATATATCACATTAATCAATTTGCAAATATTAAACCAGCTTTGCATCCCGGAGAGAAATCCAACTTGGTCTTGGTGAATAATATTTCTAATATATTGCTGGATCCTATTTGCTTATATTTTGTAGAGGATCTTGCCATGTATGTTCAAGGGATATTGGCATGTAATTTTCTTTCTTTGTAGTGTCTTTTTCTGGTTTTGGAATTAGGATAATGCTGGCCTCATAAAAGAGCTTGGAAGTCTCCCTCCTCTTGAGTTTTGTTGGAATAGCTTGTGGAGGGTTGGTGTTAGTTCTTCTTTGAGTATTTGATAAAACTTCCCTGTGAAGCCATGCAGTCCACAACTTTTGTCTTCCGGAAGCTTTTTTATTACTGCTTCAATTTTATTAGTTGTTATTGGTCTATTCGGGTTTTCTGATTCTTCCTGATTGGATTTTGGAAGAGTGTATGTTCCTAGGAATTTGTCCGTTTCGCCCAGATTGTCCAATTTGTTGTTTGTAATATTTTCTTACAATCCTTTGTAGTTCTGTGGTATCAGTTGTTACTTTACCTCTTTTGTTTCTGATGTTATTTATTTGTGGCTTCTTTCTTTGTCTCTTGATAAATCTGCCTATATGTTTATCATTCTTGTTTATCTTTTCAAAGAACCAGCTCTTGGTTTCATTGATATTTTGTATTGTTTTTTTAGTCTCTATGTCATTTATTTCTGCTCTGATATTTATTATAACCTTCCTACTACCTACTCTGGGCTTTTTCTCTTGTTCTCCTTGTAATTCTTTTAGTTGTAGGGTATATAGTTTATTAGAGATTTTTCTTGTTTCTTGAGGTAGGCCTGTAATGCTATGAACTTCCCTCTCAGGACTGCTTTTGCTGTGATCCATAGATTTGGGGTTGTTTTGTGTTCATTTTTATTTGTTTCCAGGAAGTTTTTCATTTCTTCCATGATCTCATTGGTAACCCACTCATTGTTTAATACGTGCTATTTAGCCTCCATGTGTTTGAAAGATTTTGAGTGTTTTTAGTGTAGATGATTTCTAGTTTCATGCCATTATGAGCTAAAAATATCTCATATGATTTCAATCTCCTTGAACTTGTAGAGACTTATTTTGTATCCTAACATGTGGTCTATTTTTGAGAATGTTCCATGTGCACTTGAAAACAATGTATATTATGCATCTTTTGGGTGAAATGTTCTGTAAATATCAACTCAATCCATCTGATGTACTGTGTCATTTAGAGTCAATGTTTTCTTGTTGGTTTTTCATCTGGAAGATGTATCCAGTGATGTCTAGTGAGTGTTAATGTCCCCAACTATGACTGTATTGCTGTCGATCTCTCCCATAAAGTACTCCAAGAGATTTTTTATATATTTAAGCGCTTCTATATTGGGTGCATTTTTTAAAGTTATATACTCTTGTTATATCAATCCCTTTAGCATTATGTAGTGGCCTTCTTTGTCTCTTGTTATGGCCTTTGCGTTGAAGTCTATTTTTTCAGATCTAAATATTGCTACCCTTGCATTTTTTCATTTCCATTTGCATGGAAAATTTTTTCCATCCCTTCACTTTTATCCTGTGTGAGTCTTTTGTTCTGAGGTGGCTCTATTGTAGACAACATATATTGGGTCATGTTTTCTTATCCATTTAGCTACCCTATTCTTTTGATTGGAACATTCAATTCATTTACATTTAAGGCTATTATTGTTAAGTACTTATTTATTGCCGTGGTGCTCCAGGCTAGGGAGCCAGGCATAGAGTGGAAACACCACGTTTGTAAGGGGGGACCATTGCAACTGAGATATCTTCCCAAGTTCTCAGCCACCACAAATGGGTATGGGGCCAGGCCTTTTAGAGTCTCCACCCTTCCTACCAGTTTTGAGGTGGCTTCTGTAAATCCTTGGTTGTAAGACATGTTCAGCTAATCTTCAGTTAGTTATTCAGGTTAATTGTTCTATAATTTAGTTGTAATTCCAGTTCGAACCTGGGAGGAGATGAGTGAAACTTCCACCTACTCTACTGCCATCTTTTTCCCGCCTAGGAGGAAGATTTCCACACTGAGATTTCAAGCATATAAGAGTTTTCAAAAGTAAAATAAACTACCATAAAAGCAATTATAGTTTTGTTTTTGTAGTTGTTCAAGAACCAGCTAGATGATAATTTATCAAGAGTATTGTGAAATGAGAAGAGAGTTCTACATTAAAAAGGGGCTTGTCCAGAGGTTACCTCTGGATACTGATTCTGTGATTCTCTGTGAGTTCTCTGATTCTATGATTCCAGATGCTTTTTTCTCCATTGTTCTGGAGATGACATTAATATCCTTTGCTCTTTTATTCCCATATATATGCTATTGGCTGATATGTTTCTCTACTCTCTTTCTTTCTTGGGAATATAGATGAGGTATTGTCGGAAAACTTTCTGGACTATAAGAACCGTGGAGTCAATGGTTCTCATCGGGGCCAGATCATCTGGAAGATTGATGCCAGCTCTTACTTTGTGGAACGTGAGTACTTTTCCCATTAACAGGATGAAGCAGAATTCAACTGCTTTGTTCTTTGTACTGTTGTATTGCCTGCACTTAGAAAGATGCCATGTGAAAGGGAGATATAGAGTTGATGAGATGCTTAAAAATAGATAGTAAGGTACAATAGTTGGGTAACACCCACACAAAATAACCCAGCGGGCCACTCCTTTAATTTCAAGGAAAATTTTTGTTCACGTTCATTCATCAGCCTCTGGACTCAGGACCTTATGGCTCACATCCCTTAATTTTTGTTTCATGACTCCTCTAGCTGCTCTTCAACTTTGTGATAGTTGCCCCTTCTGTATCCTCTCATCCAGTTTTGGCTTTGCTTGACCCAACCCTTCAAGGCTCCTTGCTCATGGCTCCAACATGTTGTTCCACTTTTCCTAAGGATGATGATGATATATTATTACAGCCAACCTGGTTCTTTGGTTTCTGATCTACTGACATTTCTGAATGTGTAAACTTGTCATCATGTATCTTATTTTCTAAAAGTTCCTGCTTTCATTGAAAATAAATCATTTTCACAGTATGGAAGGATGTTTTTCATAGGATCCCATACTGGTATATTTCCCATTGCATGAGGGGCTATCTATATGGATCTAGTGTTTGCCAGATGAAGTAATGCACAGATTACCTTTAATCTACAACTCCTTTCCCCTATTTGGATAATGAGAGTGCTAACTACACAAATCCATTCATGCATTATCTTGTTCATAGTTGGTATTCATTCCTTATAACACTTCTGAAGGAAATGAATAGTTTATTCTTCCAACTGCCCAGTGCTCAGAGGAAATGATACATGGCCAGGAACCTAAAGTTATCTGTTATCATTTGATTGTGGTTCAAGATATACTACATCCTCTAGCATGTTTTGCTTCCATTTATATTTACTCTTATTTTCATTCATTCAATCAATGAACATTTTGTGAGACCCACTATATCAGGGGTCCTCAAACTACGGCCTGCGGGCCACATGCAAATACAAATATTGTATTTGTTCCCATTTTGTTTTTTTACTTCAAAATAAGATATGTGCAGTGTGCATAGGAATTTGTTCATAGTTTTTTTTTTAAACTATAGTCCGGCCCTCCAACGGTCTGAGGGACAGTGAACTGGCCCCCTGTTTAAAAAGTTTGAGGACCCCTGCACTATATTCTAAAGACTAGAGATTTGATGATAAAAGGCCTGTGTCTGCCCTCTGGAAACTTATGGTGTCTCTACTTCTAGAAAGGACACAATTTCTCCCTGCTTTTTTGCATTTGCACATGCAGAAAGAGGTAGACTATCAAGAGATTTGATACTATCGGATGTAGAGAGGACATGATTTTATGGGATGAGGTTGCTGGCCCTGGATTTTGAGTTAGACATAATGAAATTCCCAGTAAGAGATTTCCTTTTATTAATAGTTACCTCCCTGACTCTAGTTTTTCTCCTCTCTAATTCATCTTGCACACTGGTGCCAGATAAAATGCCTTTAACCCAGTTCTACTACCATCTGCCCAAAAGCCTCATGGCTCTGCTTTCTTATTGCATCAGCTGAAACGTCTCTGCCTAGTTGCCAAGCCCCAAGTAAACAACCCTCAACCCTACTTCATATGTTTTAATAATACCAGTATCTTCCCCTATTCCACAGATAGCATCATTGATTATAAAGAAGGTGGGTGGGTTTGATTTGGGGATAAACATAGGCCTCAGCTAGTGGTACCCAATAGGGCTTCCCAAATGCCAGTAAGAGCAAAAGGGTAAAAACTTCATTAGCCATGAATATTAGACATAATAGTTGACTATATGCCCCAGTCTACATTCAGAGTTTAGTGGAAGAGTCTTTCCTTATTACATACCTATTTTTCTTTTGCAGGGAGTTTTAACTAATTGAGAAATAGACACAATTTAGTGTTAAAATACAGTATCAGTGTAAAATGATTCAAGCATGAGCAAAACTTTCAGCTTTTTATCTTTCTAGTGCAAGGAAATAAATATAAAGGATAATATTAGCTCTCATGACTGTTTTTTCATTCTGTATCTGTCAATGTGTAAAAGGTGAATTTGTATAGAAGTTAATCTATCAATAGTGCTATTCTTTTCAAAGCAGTTTTTACAAGGTTTCTGTGACATACAGAACATTTCCTATATATTCATCTCAAATAAAAAATCATCCTATCTAATAATAGACAAACATGGTAATTGACCATACCTTCGCTATGCCTCCCATTGGCTAATCAGGGTAATATGCAAATTAACCACCAACAAAGATGGTGGCTAATTTGCATACTGCAGGCAGGGCGGGACAGTGCGATCCGCCTGCCCCACCGCCAGCTGCCGCCTGCCCCACCACCCGCCAGGCCTGCCGTCCACGTGCACAGCCCTGCTCCCCGTCCCACCGCCCACTGGGCCTGCCGTGTGCAGTGGGCAGCAGGGTGGGGCAGCGCGGCAGAGGGCCTGCCATCTGCAACCCAGCACGGGATCCGGTCCTGCCATCTGCCACCCAGGGAGCCGGGCTAAGCCTGCAGGTGGTTATCTCCCGAGGGGTCCCAGACTGTAAGAGGGCACAGGTCCAGCTGAGGGACACCCCCCATCCCCTCACCCCTTCACCCCCCCTGCCAGTGCACAAATTTTTGTCCACCGGGCCTCTAGTTTAAAATAATTGTCTTCACCAGCAGTATGAAAATACACCTTAAATATCATTAGAAAAATATAATATAAAATAAGCTCTGTACAATATATAAACTATTGTCATAATTGAGTGAATATATACAAATTTGTTACATAGAAATGTCCTATAATAAAAAATGGCTTGCCAATTCATATTCAAGATAACTAAAAGTTCAGCACAGCACTTTAAAAAAATGACATTTTAAAAATGTTCTGTGGCAACCTTGAGAAGATCCCACTCCACTATATCTATATATATCTATATATCTATATGTCTATATATCTATATATCTATATATCTATATATATAGATATATAGATATATATATAGAAAAATGGGTGAGAGTGAAATTGAAAAGGTGGATATTTATATTTGCAAATACATCAAATGAATGATCACTATACTAAAAATGTATTATTCTGTACAAATATAATCTTGTCAATAAATGTACCAACAAAAAGCATAATTGAACTTCCAAATAATTAAAATACTAACTCAGGACACACATATAAATCAAACAATTTGCCGAAACCGGTTTGGCTCAGTGGATAGAGCGTCGGCCTGCGGACTGAAAGGTCCCAGGTTCGATTCCGGTCAAGGGCATGTACCTGGGTTGCGGGCACATCCCCGGTGGGGGATGTGCAGGAGGCGGCTGATCGATGTTTCTGACTCTCTATCTCTCTCCCTTCCTCTCTGTAAAAAATCAATAAAATATATATTTTTTTAAAAAATAAATAAATAAATAAATCAAACAATTTAATATGCTAGAATGAATCACAGCTTTAGGTTTCTGAATGCATTAAAAGTGTATATATGGTCTGCCTGCCAAGGCTCTCACATTCCAGTAGGGGAGACAAGCATGTATTTCTTATTGTGTTCTCTGTCAATGAAGAGGAGCACTCAACCCAGTTTGGGGCCGCAGAATTGATCACCATTCACAGGTAAGAGGAGCTATAGGCAGACTTGGCCAGTGAGAAACAAGGACTGGTATTGGGGGCAAGGTCGTAGAGAGGTCATTCTAGGCAAAGAACAGCACCTGCAAAGGCAGGAGGGCAGGAGGGGAGGGGTAGCCTGAAGAAGGTGCAAAGAGTTGAGGATGGACTCTGAGGAGGGTGAGGGGGAAGAGAGATCATCTAGTGTGAAGGATTAAGGATGGCGACAAATGACATTCTTCTCATTAAGAGGTGGAGTCCATGTCCCCTTTTTGGGCCTGGGTAGGCTCTGTGACCCTGTGCTGATTTCATGCTGAAGTGATGCTCTTCCAGCTTCTAGGTCGAGGCCTTAACAGACTGGTAGCATCTACTTCATACCTCTTTGGACACACACTCTTAGAGCCCCAAGATAGCTGTGCTGTGAGAAGCCCAAAATGGCCACATGAGAGGCCACATGAGAGACTGCATGGAGAGAGCATGCAGGCAGCCCAGCTGCCCACAACCTTTCCCACCGAGGGGACAGCAGAGGTCCAGCCCAGATGCTATCCATCACAACAGCATGGGAGACTCCAAGGGAGAGCTGCCAAGTTGAGCCCAGTCACTTCAAATAATTTCGAGAGATAATAATACAGTTCTAGTGTAAGCTGTTCAGTTTTTGGTCTGATTGTTATGCAGCAATAGTTACATAACATCAGGGAAACCATAGGAGCAGGCTTATGGCAGTCAGGGAGGAGAAACTATAAAAGGGGACATCTTCCGCGTGACCTGCTGAGTGCCAACAGAGGTGTCATGGAAGACACAGTCTAGAATGTATCCGCAGAGAGTTGTCACAGGGGATTATGGTGATGTTTGTAAAAATAAAAGTCAACAAGCTGATAAGAAAGACTGCAAGGTGAGCAATTCACTCCAGCTTGCTCAGAATGATCCTGGTTTGGGCTCCCATCCTGGTCTTAGTAAATCTGCATTGACAGAGAAGAGGCAAATGTACAAAGCACTCCTCCAGGCAGCGTGTCTGTGAGAGCGGCTCTGAGGTGGCAGCTTGAGAAATTGAATCAAGATGGGCTTGAACATGTGGACAGACTGCATGAAAGGAGCCATCAAATTAGAGTTCTCATTTATTTAGCACTTACTTGTGTTCAACTTCTTGGCGACACTCTTACATCCTTTTTATTTTATGCTGACAAGAGCAACATGAGATGGATGACATCACCATCTTATTTGAGGAAAAAACTTAGTCTCTGAGACACGTGATGGCTTATGTAGTAGGTAATGGAGCTGGATTTATTTTCCCTGGCTTTGCTTGTGCTCATCAACCTGAGGGAAGAGCCTATGGGGATGTTGAAGTGGTGGGACGCAGAAGGACATTTGATGATTTGAGGCCCATAAGGATG